AGGCTTTCCTCTGACTGTTTCAGGAAAAGATTCAATGGTGGTTAATAAAAAATATAGCATCCAAAAGCCTGTGAAAGACGCTCCGTAGGACGAAGCAGCGACCACAAAAATCCCTAACTCTGCGTGTGTGTGTGTGTGTGTTTGTCGAATTTTTTCTCTCTAATAAAATAATTTAAACTGTGGGATTAAATGCCAATATGAATATCAATATGATGTAATAGAAGAATAATGTGTACATATATTAATTGCATATGCCAAACATTAAATTTTTTCTAAAATAATTTTTATTCTTAATATTACTTGTATGACTGGATATTTAAAATGTTATTGAATAAGTCTGAATGAAAACTTACTCATAAAAGTAAGATCTGGGGGTTCGTACACTCCGACACGCGCAGGTGATTGGACAGAAAGTGAGGCTTCGTTTTTCTTTGATCACGTGATTCTCTGAAAACAATATACGCTCCAGCACAGAACTTCATGAGAAATTGCGCTGCTTACTCGATACGCGCTTTGAAGCTTCAGTGTCATATGTAACATCACTAGTGCTCTGGTTTTTCAACTGGTTCCAGCCAGTGATGGCGAAGTAAAGCTTTCTGAACCAGCGAAGCTTTCAATACAATTGTATCAGAAAAAGACTCATTAATCTAAGCTTTTTAACATGGTTTACCATTGTGGCCATCTATCATAAAAATGAATAGCCCCTTCCAAAGTGCAGTATTCCATTACAGCCAGTGGCTTCACATCTGGTTCTGCAACTGATTCTTTATTTTACTTTATTGTATATAAATAATGGTCATTGTCAAAGTCATTCATTTGTGTCATCATACTGGCAGTAAAATAAATGACCCATAAATTATTAAATTATTAAATTAAATCTACGATCTGTCTGTTTTATATCTGCCACAGTCCTTAGACTGTTATATCATATATAGGCAAAGTTAATTTGAGCTTCATATATAAGCTACATTACGATATTAGGAAAAACCATAATGCTAATGCATTAAAATGTAATATAATGTAAAGGAAACAGTGCTGAGGTTTGCTTTGTTTGAACCAGATACTGAAACAGTCACGTGGTTTTCAGACGAATGAAGCTTCGGATGTCATAGATCATGTGCTTTTGACAAAATACAGCTCCGATACAGTGCTTTAATGTGAAATGAGTTGTTTTTTTATACATACTTCGAAGCTTTGGTGTTGGACCTAACATCACTAGTTCCAGCAAGGGTTTAATTATTGGGCCCTAAAACTCCTCATTTATAAGTCACTATGGATGAAAGCATGTAAAAGTAAAATGTAGGGATGTGCCGAATGAGGCTTCTGAAACTGTGAGGCTTTTAAAACAAACTGGGTCAGTGAAATAAAGAATGCAAAAGAAGTGCTGCACGGGGTATTGGGTTTCTAGTCTCGGTGCTCTTTGGGTGCAAGGGATGATTCAACTCGTAAGAATAATAGCCCTAACCCTAAAAACACAAATTCACATATACATATACAAATACAAATACAAATGCAAGGGCAGGATATGTTCATGCCGAGCGACCAGTGAAGCATTTCAATGATCAATGTTTGCGTAACTTCCACTCTCCCAGCAAGTCATCAGTTTATCCGCTACTGTCATGCTTTTACACAATTCACTTTTATAATTCACACATAGCAGGTATCAAGACTCAGGTGGACGAAGGATATATTCTCAGCATGCAAGTGTGTTTTGATTTTGATTTAATTAATCTGATCTTATCTGTACAGCACTGTTATTATCATACCTCACATATACAGACATTTTCCACTGCAGACTGTTGTCCTCTTTCTGTGATGCAGACAAACAGCTGAATTAAAACACAAAATTTACCTAAAGTCACAATTCACATTTAATCAGTGTTCTGGGAACATTTTTTTGTTTATTTATTTTTCTGTAACATTTACAGACATTATTATATTTATGATTCTTGTCAGTTCATAATTGCATATTTATCTCTTCTGAGTTATCTCATTTTTAATTGTAATGCATTCAAATGTAATTCTAAATGTCAGATAACTATGGCTAGTGAAGAAATACCTTGTTAAAACAGTATTGGTATTTACACCCTGACACAATTTGCTTGTTGAAACACACGGTTACATCTTTCAAGTGTCTTGGGCAGGGGTGTCAAACTCCGTTCCTGGAGAGTTTAGTGCCAGCCCTGCTCCAACACCCACACCATGTAGTTTTCAAATAAGCCTGAAGGACGTGATTAGCTGGATCGGGTGTGTTTAATTATGGTTGGAACTAACAGCACAAC